GGAAGTGGCAAACCATAGACACGTGTTTCGGGCTTTTGGCCCATCATCAGTATGGTGCAGCCAAGTGTAAGGATGGGCAACACTTGGTTACCAGAAGAAAGAAATACAAATGCACAGAGCCACCAGCAGGAGCCAGCCGCACATTTGTGGTATGAGTTATAGACAAGAAAACTATAAAAATCACTTTCTTGAGTGCTATGTTTGATTAATAACTATTTTATCTATATCAAGACACTCGATAATCTTCGTATTTGTATTATTTCCTGGACCCGGATGTCACGCAGGTAGCTATAGATGCCTACGTGGTGATTTTTATAGTTTTCTTGTGAACATGTTATCTTTTGAGATCATGTCATGTTATGGATTATCAAAATACTAACATTTTAACAGTTGAAAATAATAAATTCAAAAGGCTTTTTCTAGAAATGGTTCACATAAGTAAACATAATAATAATTTAAACAAAAAATCAGAAATTATATTATAATAATGCAAATCGAAAGGATTTGCCGTTCTTCAACATTTGTCAGTTTGTGACCAACTTTGTCACATCTGGAATAACAATAGGATGAAATTCAATAGAACTTGTCACATTTATCACCAGTCATCGTTTGAGGTGGCTTAGTCGTCCTTTAATGTTCAGGACCGTATTGTGAATTTGCCTTCATTCATGTGGCACAAAATGATTTGATGACCTGATGAATTTTTTCGTCAGTAACACTTTGTTGTGCTTTCTATTTGTTTACATAAAATTTTACTTTTGTATTTTTTACTAAGACAACACACAATATGCCTTATTATTCTCGAAAAATACTGGGCAGATTTAGTTTACTACTACTTTAACGTTATAGCGGTTTAGGTACAATAAAGAAACATCTACAATATGTTCAAAATTTATTATACTACAATATAATACTAATACAATACAACGATAAAAATAAAATAAAAACAACAATGAAAATGAATATGTTATTAAAAATTTTACACACCAGGATATGAATATTTTTCGAATTTTCTAAGAGTTTAATCCACGAAAGCTTTTTGTCTCATGTGAAGAATGTCTAATAGTAAACATTAACGATTCTGAAGAAAATTCAACAGATTCTTTTTTAACCTTGCTCTTCAGGTCATGAACATCAACGATTTGTAATCTTCAAATAAATTATTAGTATAATGAGCATAATGCAATTGTTCGAGAAATCTTGGAGATATTGGGCCAATGTGGGTCCAAATCATTTTTTTAGTTTCTTTTATAGAATTTCTTTCACTTTCCAGAATTTGCGTTGTACCATTCTGAAATTTCTGGAATTGTCTTTTTCAGTTGGTTAATAATTTCAAAAACGAGCTTCTATAAGTTTTGTGTTACAATAATTCTAACATGATCAGTATACGTTTGTGAGAGCCATTTTCGTACTACTTCAGAACAGGAACTTCTAAAGAAAGCAAGTTATTGGCTTTNAATATAATAAGATGTGAAGACTAGTTCAAATATTTCTAAAGAAATGTGGTTATTCAGAAAATATTCAGAATTCTTGAATCTAATAATTTTCAAGCATTCCAAAAGATTGAGTTTTAAACATTTCTCTTCCAAATGCCGAACTCATGTCCCCTACTGAATAAAGGTTTGCAAATGTAGAAATGGTCTTCACATTCAAGACAGTACGTCTATGTTCTTTCACACTTTAGGTAAAGTTTCTCCTTACTTGGCCAATGTACTCAGGTGAATCAGTGGTCATTAGTTAGGTAGAAAGTCATATCATCCAGATTGTTAACTAATATAAAGCATTAATTAGGTATAATTTAGTAAGTATGAACACGTGTAAGGAAGCTGTTGTATAGAGAAACACGTGTTTCGATTCTGTTAACTGTTCAGTGAAAATCCCAAAGTGTTAGGTTAGGTTAGGTCAGAAGTGAGTGGGTTTATTCGATCCTCCATCGCAACCCGCAAGGGTTTAGTGTGACTCACACCTATTCAAACTTGACCAAATAAACCAAGTTTTTTATATGGTGAGTGATCTTTCAGGTCAGATGATAAGAGTGTGGCTCTGCCAAACTCTGGAAACCTGATTTGGTCTGCAGCGGGGCAGGCACAAAGTATATGCTCTGCTGTTTCATCATTTTCTAACCAGAGATGACACACACTGTTAGGCCTGTTAGACATCGTACTTTATCCCTACTGTAGTCCAACAACTGTTTGGTTTCAAATTTCGAAGGGTGAATGAATGCCTTGGAGTGAGCCAATCCTGGAAGATTTTGCCAGAAAACATTCAAGTGTTCAATGCCGGTGTGGCTAGGAATCCAGACCGGAGACAATTTGTTGAGTCTTTATATTTAGACCAATTTAGACATTGCACAGCTTCTAACGCTGCTTGACTATCTGAGAAAATTTTTATTGACTTGTGTATGATGTTGTTGAAATGTGATTGAAATGTGATGTAATGTGAATTGAAAAACGAAACATTTGTTTTTCCTGCAATAGAGCGCCAAAATGAAAAGTTGAGTAGCGAACACTCACATGTCTGAATTCCTTATGGAATTACCTTTTCAATGCTGTGTTACACTTAGTACTTTCCCTAATCAAATTGTATGAGTGACCAAGGGGTGGAGAGAGAAGTATGACACTTGAGGTAACGATAGGATTTGTCCTCCTTGGATTTAAAATTGACGTGTTTTTGCATCATGTTCGCAGTACATGTGTTTTGAAGAATTCGTTTTCGGTGTCGGGTTAAATCGAACCATAATTACAAATTTTGTCCGCCATTTTGGAGCCACCATCTTGATTTTTTGCATTGAA